GTCACATTTTATCTCAACACTCACCCCTGCTCTAGTCAACCAAAGTTTTTTTTTCATATTAATATTTTGGATTGGGAAAGATTTTCAAAGAGATGCTTTAACGTTTTATAGAAATGCTCAGAATTGACTACATTATTCCAGTCGCTTTCAAGCGATGATTGATAAAACCTATTATAGTTAGTCGTGCTGTATATTCGACCATATCTGTGTACAGAAATGAAAAACGTTTGAATCACTAATCATGTGAGATATAAGGTATATCAATCTCAGAGTATGTTTGTAGGCAGATCTTCAACTTTTTGAGCAATAATTCAAAAATAATTGAATATTGTTATATGAAGCATTAACACGTGTGACAGAAAAACTATTTATTTCATCAACTGTTTCATTCGGTAGTTTAGTTTATTCCCCAAACACTAAAAATGTACAATGAGAGACATGACACAAAAAAGAAATGTATTGAAACAATCATTCTCCATATTTTTCAATGTACAAACAAATTCACTAACGAAAAAAGTTTGACTTCTGAAACAAATCGCTTATCAAACTAAGTAATTAATAGAATATATTCCACTCCTGAGTTCTCAGTTAGCAACATTCATGATCACCCAAATAGGTTTCTTTTTGGAGGTGGTGTCTGAGGCTCTGGTTCTAATCTGGCACCGGTATCTGAAAAAAATATTGAAATATATTCAACAATCATTGGTTTCCAAAGTTACATTGGTTTATACATTCATGGAATGAATCATCACATTAGATTATTGATCTTGCATTTATCTGCGAACATGTGTAAATTCTCAATAAAGATATTTGTCTTCACTTTCGCTATAATTATATTGAATTTTGGAAAACATCTATTACCATACCTATATTCAAATCGGGGAATGAAATTGAAATTGAAAATTATAGAGGTGTCTCAATTATGTGCGCTACGTCTAGGTTACTAGAACAAATTATATGTATATTCGAAGCTGTATAAATTCGCTAATAAATACATACCACCTTAACAGCACGGCTTCATAACCCAGGAGTAAGTAAATACTAATTTATTTATTTTTAGCAATCAAACTTTTGAAATTTTGCAAAATAAATCTCAATTGGACACAGTAATCACGGACTTCCCTAAAGCCTTTGATCAAGTAAATCGTGATGTGCTTCTGTTAAAAATTTGTAAATTTGGTTTGGTGAAGAATCGTCTTGAATCGATTAAAATTACTTGAGAAATAGATTTTTTTATTGTTAATCATAATGGAAACACTTCGGGAAAATTCCATGCCAATTACGGTGTTCCTCAGGGATGGAATCTAGGGCCTCTTCCATTCGTATTATTCAATAATGATTAGCCTTCGGTTCTACATCATTCACATTGTCTGCTCTTCGCAGATCTCAAAATTTTTAAACAATGTATTCAAACTGTTAGAGACTGCGTATCACTACAAAAAGACATTAACAACATTGTGAATTGGAGTAACACTAATAAGTTATTTTTCAATATGAATAAAATGTTGAATATCTCGTTTGAAAGATGTGATTAAATTTGAATATCATATGAATGGAGAGTTCCTGGATGTAAAAACGGAGGTGAAAGTCTTAGGCGTAAAAAGTATAATTTGGTATTTTCTTGAAAAATAAAGTTTCTAAGGAAATTACAATACCAATCTCACAAACTGAATGAGCTATACATCAGAAACTGTGAACATCGAATGTATGTAGTCCGCGAAATTTGAACATTCTCTTTAGTTTTTGAACATACTTCGTATGTACATGTATGACTGTTTGTATGGACATGAAAAGTGCCAACGCTCTCTATTTCCCCGGCTGAGAGCCTTACAATCGAGCATCTTTCCTCTATGTACCGCCACCACTGTCAAAGGAACCCCCACTCCACTGAACTCACCCCCTCTACGTGCCACCGACGCGTGACGTCGACCACATGAGAAGGCGAACCAACGGGGATAGAAGCCTGCAACCTAAGTCTAATACATTATGCCATCAATATAAACAAAAATGAAAATAAATTCTAACAAATGACTCTAAAACTATTAACATATGTTAACAGAGAGATGCCACTACAATCTATGTATGCTATGATTGGGGAGATCATTTTCCATCCCCCAGTAACATGACGCCAAGCTGAGAACCTGCCCTTCACTTTTCTCGTTCATCTCTCACCACATTCTCTGCCCATTCGTTAACGAACCTTATCCATTCGCTATTCCTCCCGTTCTCTCTTCTCGGTGTTATCTCATTTTCCCGCTCCTTATATTTCTCCCATTCACGCCATCCAGTCCTATCTTCAACTATGCATCTTTCTATCAGATTCTCTGCGTAGCCGCAGAAACATGGAAACCCCGAACCCAGGTTGAACCTGGCAAGACATCCCGGGAAGTTACCTTGTCCCGTGAGCAGCTGGTGGCCTTACCGTGACAGATTCAGTGATTCATGCCCGACTCTTCAACATAATCTGTAGAACAGCCACCCAGTCTTTTCCGTGTCCCATTCCCTCTGCCATTCTGCCCTGATTCGTTCTTTGATTCTCGTTCCCTCTTCGTTCTTACTACCCATTATCACTATGTCCCACATGTGACGTTGAGCTTACCCATGCCTGCCGTTGCCCCTTCGTGAGCCTTCTTGTTGCCGAGATTGCTGCTCTCATGGCCGCGCTTCTAGATCAAACAAGTTCGCGCTCCCCTCACATTCCTCTCTTCAATCATTCTCTGTATCATCGCTACTCTTTTATTCCTCGTTCTTCCTGCTTTCATATGTTCCGCAGTCATGATAGAATCGCTTATTCATATGCCATATCCCTATCACTTTCTTTCATTTCCCTGTACCCATTCATTTTCTTCATACCCATACATTTTCTTCACACAAACTGAATGAGCTATACAGTTGAAACCGTGAACATTCGTTCAAGACGAGTGTAACAACATAAAAAAATTAAAACACCGAATGAACCTGTATAATAATAATAATAATAGGATGTGCAGCTCGTATATGGAAGCATCTTACACCATCTGGATGCCGGAGAGACGTATACTTACCTCGGGGTGGAACAACGCCACTCACAAGAGGTAACAGCAGTGAAAAACTCTCTCCGCGGCAAGTATCAGTACAAACTTCGACAGATCTGGTCATCAGAACTGTCGGGGAAGAACAAAGTTGCTGCAACAAATATGCTTGCCATCCCAAACTTACTCTACGCGTTTGGAGTAGTGAAGTGGACTCGGCAGGAGCTGTAGCAACTCGACGTAAAGACCCGAAAAATGATGCATCTCAATAGGAGTGTGTATCCCAAATCGTCCGTTCCATGGTTGTACTTTCCCCGACAACAGGGAGGCCATGGACTTTTGAGTTTGGACTGTCTACATGACAGAATGGTGCTGGATACATCCTGTAAAATCGTCAGGAGTTCGGATCCCATTCTCTGCATGATCCGTGACCATGAGAGAGCAGGAATTTGAGCATTTCTCTTCAGGGCAGCTGCCCGAGCAGCTGATGAACTCGGTATAGTTTTCGACACTGAACGAGGTGACCACAACTCTGTCACCGAGTTGGAACCTGTTCAGAAAAAAACTCAGATAAAAGCCGCAGAGATCACCTTACTTCTGCGGAAATACAAGGATAAGCCAATGCATGGGGTCTTCTTCAATAACATTGGAGACCTTGGCTTATCAAAGCCAAGCCGTGATGGGTATAGGAGTTCCTGACACAAGGTACAGGGCCTGCCGCGAGGCGCCCGAGACCCTAATGCACTTGCTATCAGCATGTCCAGCATATGCGGTCTCAGCCTATATCCATCGACATAACGCGGCCCTAAGAGTGCTATACTATCATCTACGGCACTCTTACAGTATTGACGAGATACCGGTGTTGCCCTACGCTCCAGGGGATATTGAATCCGTTGTGGGGAACGAGAAGTGCCGAATTTATTGGAACTATTCCCTCCCTCAGGCTCATACAAGCTAATAAGCCTGATGTGGTTCTTCTCGACCACCAGAGCAAAACGATATTTGTCGTTGAGTTTTCAGCTCCTGGCGAGACAAATATCGTCAGAAAAGAGGAGGAAAAACTGATAAAATATCGAGATTTTCTCTTCGAACTCCGCAGACTCTATCCAGATCACTCTGTCAAGATGGTCGTTCTGATTATTGGAGTCCTTTGTGAAATGATGTCTTCTTTACTCTCGAATTTTAAAATCATACCGGCTTGCCGGTATGTGAACACATATGTAAGGATATAACAATAATAGGTATTCGACAAATATGAAGTGGCGAAGTGTCACCCGTGAGTGTTTTTCAACTTAACCATGACTCTGAATGACTCTCTGTATGGACAGTCCAAGTCTCCACAAATTATGTATTGGACGAGAGTGACCTGCTAGTAGTTCTGTTAGATAAGGTACGTCAATCCTGCTGTAGTCCAACAAGTGTTGGGAACATTTCCCAAAGTATGTATAACAACTATTGGTTCTTTGTATTTCCTTCTCCTACATAATGTAGTTTACTATTGCAGGTATTGAGTCGGAGACCATTCACAGATCGCTGTGCTCCACACAGAATTCCATCTTTCAATATTCCAAGTTCATAGACATCAAAATTGATACAATAACAGGATATAGAAATATAAAACAATCTCCAAATACGCAAACTTTGAACAGATTGCTTGCTGAGTATTTTACTTTAGTACAGTGATCGGATCAAAGTTGCAATGTCAACGTGCAAATCTTCATAAATATTGAGGGAGATCAAGATCATGGAGAGACAGTACTGAGAAATTCATTCGGTATCTATTGATCTTCAGAAAATGTTCCAGCAATGCAGCACATTTCCTTCGATTCTGCTGGGTGGCAGTATAATGTAAGAAAAAGTGGCTTCATTTTTGAAGAATCGAGATATTAAAATTGCTTACAGAACAAGTGATACGTTGGGAAAGTTAGTTGAAAATAATAAAGACAAAACATCCAAGTTCGAGAAATCAGGAGTATACAAGTTAAAGTGTGCAACGTGCCCTAAGATATATATTGGTCAAACTGGCAGGACATTTAGGAATCGAATCCAGGATCATCATACGAGCTATGTAATCAAGAAAACAAATTCAACATATTCAAATCATCTTCCAGAAGAAAATCACATCTTTGATGAAGAGTTCCAAATTTTGCACATAGAAAATGAAGGTTTGAAACTGAATCATTTGGAAGCAATGGAAATTAATAAACTTAAAAATTCAAACATTCTAATTAATGACCAACTAGATTTGAATAGATCACCATTATTGAACTTGTTTTCTTAAAAACCGAGAAAGAATTATTATTGATGTAGATGTGAGGCAATATGCTTTAGGTAATCATAATTGAACAGGTACGTTATGTTGAGGTTCAGATAATTTCTCAGAGGTAGTCTCAATTATGGTTACCTGTAGTGTATGAATAGTAATCTAAGGATAATTTGATGTACAAATCGCTTGAAAAAGCGGTGTAGTTTTTGAAATTACTATGGATCTTCATCAATTAACGGCCGAATCAATCAGAAAAAAAATAGTATTGTTTATATGAAACAGAAAATAGACCGTTGGTCCTATTTTCATCTACTATATTCATCTTCATCTGAGCCTTGTATGAACTTGTTGATATCTAAAACATAGCTCGTTTCCACTTGATACAAACAGAATCAATGGGTTTCTGTGCATTGAGGAGAAGAAAAATTAGCTGTCGTTTGATGTAAATCCAAAGAGTAGTCCCGATTGTTACGTCTCATTTCTGATAAACCACTCACCTGGTCCCACAATTATTTGTGATAATAGTCCCCCAACCATGTCAGTATTCTGCAATACTGAATCAATTGAGTCCACTATTGGTGAAAAGAGTTGTCCAAAGAAAGGAATCTGATTCACAATCCATCGAAAATTCGCCATTCTTTCTATAGAGAAAAAGAAGTTCTGGACAGCGGTTACTAGATCATCTAAATCTGAGGAACCAGTCATGATTCCTACAATGTTTGTGAGAAGTTCGATAATCACTTGCAATAAGTTCAGTATTCCTGGAAAATATTTCGTTATAGCAGATTGAATAGTTCAACGGAGGATTTCTTCTTTTCCAAGTTGTGAGATTTATGAAGAAATATAAGTATTTTGAGAATAATATGGAACTATGGTTTTGTATATTGAATGTATATCGTACCTACCTGTCTCTCTAGAATTTTCTCTCACTTCTACTTCCCATTTTGCAAGAACCGGCTTCTCTATTTCATCTGGAAGAATTGAAATATTTTCTCAATACAAACCTGGGATAAATGTATTGAATTAATGATATTGTGAGAAAACCTCAAGTGATGCCTGTTGTGGTACTAAAACCTAAAAGTGCATTTTCACATAATCTCTTAATAAAAATCTCTAGATGATTGGGTAGTATTATTGTCTACGATATTGATTCTGAATACGAGAGTGTATGATTTTTTATGTTTTCTCACAATTAACCTGAGTATAATAGTTGTATTCGATACTTGTGATGCGCTGTTTGGAACCTTTGGTGTAGTAATGAATATTACTAGAGTTTTTTCTCAACACCAAACCGTTATTTCGATACCTCGACACGTGTTTCGATCACCATGTGATCATCTTCAAGAGGAAGATCAAACTAATCATACTTACAAAGCTATCCCTATTTATACCATAGATACCTGTTCTTGATGGTCTTAAATTGATTTCACAATTTGCCTTATCTACTTGTCCTAAATTAATTTTTTCAATGTGTCCTTATGTAATAGTCAGGTGAATCTAATAATTAAATCGTTTTGGTAATAAGGAGCCAATATGGAGGGTTAGAATACGATATATTTAGAAAAGAAACAATCACGAACAAGTATATTCCTGACAGTTCACATCACTGTGGACAGCATAAACGTACTGGGTTGAATTTTTTAGTGCATCGTCTTTTGATTTTCCCTCTAACATATGATAGGTTCAAAAAAGAAAGACGTACGATACAGGAAATAGCAGCCACTAACGGTTTCTCAAGGGGTATTGTAGATGACATAATAAGAAAAAAGAAGTTTACGTTAAAGATGAACGAAATATCGACTTTCAGAAAGGATAAAAACCAAGAGAAATACATCTCAGTTTCATACCACCAATATACGAGGAACTTTGGAAAGATTTTCAAGGAATTAGGTATGAAGGTGGTTTTCAAAACAAGTCATACACTACAGAGCCTTTTGGGAAGTCCAAAAGACAAAGTCGAGAATTCGGAAAAGTTTGGAATTTACGAAATTGAATGTAAGGACTGCAATGCAAAATATTATGGACAGACAAAAAAATCTATTGAAGTAAGATATAAGGAACACATAGCACACTTAAAATATGAAAAATCAGCAGTCGCCCATTATATTTTGCAACAAAACCATTCCATAGACTTCAGTTCATTAAGATTAGACAAGTTAATAACAACAGGCAACTAGATGCCTATGAGAGTGTAGAAATAAGTAAACACAATAATATTATGAATAACGATGACGGAGCAATATCAAAGAGCATACTACATAGCTTGTTAAAATAAAATAATGTTGTTGGGTTTACTGATTAATACATAAGGACACATTGCAAAAATAAGTTTAGATAGGCAATATTGTGAAATTATTTTTTTATATAGCTGAAAATTGTTTTATATAAACATATATTGTGAAATAATAGATAAGGCAAAATTATAAAATTAATTCAGGTTGGTATACCTGTATGGGATACCTATATAGCATAAATAGGGTTAGCTTCGCATTAGTTTCTTGTTTTAATCTTCCTCTTTGAAGATGGTCACTTAGTGATCGAAACACGTGTCGAGGTGTTAAAAATAACGATCTGTTGTTGGGAAAAAACTCCAGTAATATTCATTACTACACCAAAGGTTCCAAACAGTGCATCATTAGTATATGATGTCATCTACACATATTTTTCGAAAGCGTTCGACAGACTTGACCGTAGTATCCTGCTCAACAAGCTTTCGACTTTTGGGTTATCCAATGAATTAATTACCCTCTTCAAATCGTATTTTTACAACCGTAAGCAGTACGTCCAACTCAATGGCCTCAAGTCTATCGAATATATGTACCACAAGGATCAAATCTAGGACCCCTAGTGTTCAATATGTTCAGTAATGATATCGGAGCTGAGATTGATGTCAATTTCCTTTTGTATGACTGGAAACTCAGTCACAATATAATATGTTACAATGATTGCGAACGTCTCGTTCTGAATTTTAATCGCGTTGCTACATATCCAAATGTAATGTAATGTCTTACTCACTGAAAACGAACTTGAATTCACACAGGTACGTCATAAACAATCAAGTTCTGGAGCGTCCTGACACACTCGCTGATCTAGGTGTTACTTTTGATTCATCCCTTTCTTTCAATAAACATATTGACACTACTTTTACAGTAGCTTATCACATGTATGGATTCTTAGTTCGAAATACAAAAGACTTCGAAAAAGCTTTAACATTGAAATTACTTTATTTCACTTTTGTTCGATCTAGGCCGGAATATGCATCTGTCGTGTGGAGTCCCTACTATCAGGTTCATATAAATCAACTAGAAGCCCTACAGAGGGTCTTCCTAAAATATATGTTTTTTAAATTTAAAGGCACGTATCCTACTGTAGGAATACCCTATTATGAATTGATTGTAACTCACAATTTTTGTAGTCTCGAGGTGAGGCGTAAATATTATTCATTTCTTTTTTTATTCAAGGTCATAAACAATATCATCACCTGCTCTCAATTGTTACATATGTTGAATTTTTGGGTTCCTAGACGGTCATCTAGGAATAGTGTCACATTTTATCTCAACACTCCGTGTACAAATATAATAAAAAAATCTCCAATTTATACAATGTGCGATACCTGTAATTCTGTTAGTCATGTCCTAGATATATTTAACTGCCAGATTATACAAATCAAAAGACATTTCTTAGCTAACTGACAGTTCTGTTTTAATTTTTTTCAATATAGATTCACAAATTATATTATGTAAGTACATATTTGTAAATGCCACTGTTACTCCCTATTCTGTGATTGGGTTCATCCTGTAGAATAGTGTATGAAATAAATAAAGAAATAAATGAATAAATAAATGAATTTGGACGTCCACTCCCACTGCGTGCTACCTCATCGGTGTCTCTACGACCACGTTTGAAATCGGCAAACCAACGTTTAATCGTTTTTTTTTTATGGAGACGAGTCCTTGTAACACTTTTCGAACTATTGCTTCACTTGAACGGTGTTGTTTCCCACCAAGAAGCAGTGTGAAATTGAAACACTGAATTGTTTTTGATCCATTGTTTTGAAAACAACAAAATTAGTGTCACTCTTGCCTGCACGTCGTCTTGATTTCAGACAGGTTGGAGCCTGGCTCCCTTACCCTTTGGACTGATGTTTGCCAGAAGGACAAACAGGTCATAACTGATGGTGAGTGTGGATGGTATGGCGGCATGAATGTCCTCAGACATCAGTACCGCCCTTCACGGTGTACCCCTGCCTGGCTGGGGTGAGTTGGATGAAAAAGTTGTTCATCTTTCAACGGAAGATATAGGGGCCTCATTTGACAGTGTCGGGGCCTTCTTTATCGGGAGGGGTCGTCTACAGTATAACCCATAACTTCCCTGACTAATGGTATTTCATGAGTTTCTACACCATCGAAAACTTTCTGATTTCTCGACTGAATGGACTGCCAAATGGAAGGCAGCTGCAAATCTCTGCGGATGGCTTCATTCCGCTCGAACCAAGGAGCATTCACAATCATCCTCTTCAACTTGTTTTGCAATACCTCCAGAATGGAGATATTATATTTCGCCGCTTGTACCCAGACGCCTGAAGCATACATAATGACAGGCTTGAACATCGTATTATAGATGGTAATCTTGTTTTTGAGACTCATTTTAGATTTTCTGTTGATCATAGGGTACAGACGTACTATCCGATCCTCGATCTTTGATTTGACGCTCGTTATGTGCGGGTTCCAAGTGAGCCTACGGTCTATTAGAAGGCCGAGGTACTTTACCCTCGCTTGCCAGTCAATCTACCTTCCAGAGATTCTCAATTTTCTGACCGGAGAAGATTTCAGTTTTCCCATGGTTATTGCCTGAGTCTTTTCCGGGTTCACTCGGATCTTCCAATCAAGGTACCAGCGCTCGAGGACGTCCAATCCCCGTTGCATGTAGACGACGCCGAGCTCTCGACCCATGGAAGATGAGAGGAGAGCCGTATCATCGGCGTACAGAGATATCTTCACACGCTCGGGCCTCGGAAGGTCACTGATGTAAAGTGAGTACAACGTTGGAGAGAGCACGGCCCCCTGTGGCACTCCAGCAAGGATCTCTCTGTTATCAGACAGAGATCCCTCTACTCTATGCTGAAATGTCCTGTCTTTCAGGAAAGACCCGATCCACCGGACGAGGCTCCGAGGCAGGTCAAACGCGTTTAATTTGTGCCTTCGTGCCAAACACAGTCGAAGGCCTTCGAGATGTCAAGTAGCACAATGTGTACTTTTTTGTTTGAGTTAAGCTCTTGATGGTGTTTTCGACCAGCCTTAGAGCCTGTAACTCAGTGGAGTGATCTCTCCTGAAGCCAAATTGCTCATCAGGCAGAACATTTTGGTCCCCAATGTCTTCGCTGAGCCTTTGAAGAACAACTCTTTCAGCCAGCTTAGCCGCCAAAGAGAGTAGACTGATCGGGCAATAGTTCTGTGGGAACAGCGGGTTCTGACCCTGTTTTGGGATCATGACGACGATCGCATGCTCCCACCTTCTGGGGAAGTGTCTGAGGGCCAACGAACTATTTATGATGTTCAGTAAGCATTCAACGCAATTGTCCGGGAGTCTCTTCAACAACTTGTTAATTATTGAGTCGACCCCCGGTGCTTTCTTAGCCTTTGCTGCCCTGATGTATCCCTTCAGAAGCTGGACGGATGTCGTCGTCGTCATCTTGTCTGAGGAATCGATGAACCCGGTCTTCCAACAGCATATCGCGGTCGATGTCGTCGTCAAAGTTGAGCTGAAACTGACGTTCCATCGTGTCAGCAAAGGCTAACGCTTTGTCGGCGGGGGAGTAGCACACTCCGCGCTCTCCGTGAATGGGTGAGAGAGCAGTCTTCTTCCCCTTAAGCCTGCGAGTGACTCGCCAAAGCTCGTCACTTCTAGGTTCAAAGGATTCCAAAAGCTCTGTGTCACTCTTAACACAGCAGCTTTCTTTTGAAAGTTAGGATCAACTGAAAAAGTTGTGAATGCAATGAGACACAGCGCCATCTATGTTTCAGGCCCGAGACTTTTCAGGACAAAAAATATGTATGCACATACAGCTAGTCCAAAAAAGTTATTTTGTATTGTCAAATATAATAATTTGGTTGTATAATGTTAGTTATACAATGATCACTGACGATCTGGTGGAACTATTATTTTTCCATTTTTGTCCACTCCTTCAAAATAATGTCAAAATATTAGAAGTACGCAAAATTAGTACCACAGATAGCCTCGGCTTTGTGGAATGTATGTTTATTTGCAGTTTAAAGCAATTGCTTTGTTTTTATACATGGTTTATATTGTCACCAAGAGACTGATAATGAATGAAGAAAAGAGAATTAGAACTTTCTATGTTTTTTATCACTTTTATGAAAGTGGTAAAAAAACAGAAAGTTTCAATTCTCTTTTCTTCATAATGATTTCCTACCACCTAGTTAATGGCTACATCCATCAATATATTCTTTTCTAATAAATTGAACTTATTATGGTTATTATTATCAATTATCAGATGACCTCATATCCTTGATCAACTAATAATTCAATCAGAAAAGGTAACATTACTGAAATGATCTTAGAAAGTCCTACTTACATCGAATAGACTGTTTTGAAGGTACCGCTTGGGAAAATTGTATCCCAATCAAAATAAGGAATGCCAATACTGTCATTTTTGTTAATACTTTATTACAAAAGAGATACAAATTTGGAACCAACCTTTTATACCTTCGATAAATAGGGGAATATTCGTTATCAATATTTTTAATGATCCCATTTTAATAAAGGACAGGTGATTGAGTACAAAATAGTGATCACTGCAATATGTCATGAGCTAATAGAAAAGAAATATTATTTCAGATCAGGACAACAAAATAACTTCTGGAATAATAGTCATTGGAATGGTCGTTCAGCATTGATAGTATTACTGCAGAAAAACGATCAAATTATTCTGTCGCCTAAAATACCACACCATACGTTTGTCCTTATAATTTATAACCCAGTGGGAATTTTCAGAACATACAATTTTGAGCAGATACTATTTCATTTGTAGTAAACGTAGCCTCATCAGTGAACAATTTTTTTTTTGTAAATTTCTATAAAAAAAAACCTTAGGCCCAATACCAGTGACCTAAACGTTTATATTCGTCACTTCCTTTCAATATGTGCAAGAACTTTGGTTCAAATGGTTCAATTTTATGACGAACGAGACATCTCCTGATTTTAAAATGAGATTGGAACCTTTGGTGTGAAAGTTGAATAACTTTTTTCGAGATCAATTGCCCTAACACCAAACTGATATTTTTGCACTCGACGCGCGTTTCGCCAACAAAGTTGGCATCTTCGGGAGAAGAAGATTGATACCTAGTCTAGTCTGGTTAGTCCTTATATACTAGAATTTGTTATCTGAGGTTGTATACCTGTAGTCCAATATGGAATTTCTCGGTAATTAACTACCTGCAAGTTCTTAGTAATTATTCTCTTCCTAACAGAAGATTAAAAAGCGGGCTAAACGGGATGGGTCCCCTATCGCCATTCATGCTGTTCTTACATTTTGCTATTTCTAGACTCTCACATGCATCGAGTAGCCTGATGTCATGCACATGCTTAATCAGTTTCAGATTGTTTTCACCAATTCTGTGGTCCTTGTCTAGAGCATGTTGGGCGAAACTGGACTTTTCTATCCCTCCGTATTTTACGTGTGCACAATGCTCCTTGAAACGGGTTTTAATCGCTCGTCGGCTCTGACCGATGTATTTGCTGTTGCAATCTTGACAACTGATTTCGTAAATCCTCGACCTTCCTCTGTTTTCTAGTCTATCTTTTGGATTACCAAGAAGCTGTTGCAATTTATAAGAAGTTCTATATGCAACTTTTATATTTACTTTATCGAATATCTGTTGAAGCCCTCTCGTGTATTGGGGTTCATATAGGATTACTATAAACTTGTTATTACTCTCCTCTTTTTGAAAAGTCGAAGATTTACGAAGTGCTTCCCTATTCAGCAACTACCGGAAACTTCAAAAGGATTTGTTCGTGAAGCATGTAAACAACAAATTTCCAAAAATATGAGCAAAGAGCCACACATTTCATCGAGAAAATTGTAAGAGTATAAAATTCACATATGAAGTAGAAAAAGAACGAAAGTTGCCGTTTTTAGATGTATTGGTCATAAGCAACGAACAGAACGAAATAGAATTTGACATTTACAGGAAAGACACGGGCACTTTCAGATACATTCCCAATGACTCGAATCATTGTCCACAACACAAAATGGCGGCACTGCAATTTCTGGTACACAGGTTGATATTTTTTCCTTTAAAGAGAGATAAGTACGACAATGGAAAGAGAGTGATTCGGTATGTAGCTGAAGCAAACGGTTTTAACCCAGATATATTTGACAAGATAATTAGAAAATGCAAGTTTAGGAAAGCACTTCGTAAATCTTCGACGTTTCAAAAAGAGGAGAGTAATAACAAGTTTATAGTAATCCCAGATGAACCCCAATACACGAGAGGGCTTCAACAGTAAATATGAAAGTTGCATATAGAATTTCTTATGAATTGCAACAGCTTCTTGGTAATCCAAAAGATAGATTAGAAAACAGAGGAAGGTCGAGGATTTACGAAATCAGTTGTCAAGATTGCAACAGCAAATACATCGGTCAGAGCCGACGAGCGATTAAAACCCGTTTCAAGGAGCATTGTGCACACGTAAAATACGGAGGGATAGAAAAGTCCAGTTTCGCCCAACATGCTCTAGACAAGGACCACAGAATTGGTGAAAACAATCTGAAACTGATTAAGCATGTGCATGACATTGGGCTACTCGATGCATGTGAGAGTCTAGAAATAGCAAAATGTAAGAACAGCATGAATGGCGATAGGGGACCCATCCCGTTTAGCCCGCTTTTTAATCTTCTGTTAGGAAGAGAATAATTACTAAGAACTTGCAGGTAGTTAATTACCGAGAAATTCCATATTGGACTACAGGTATACAACCTCAGATAACAAATTCTAGTATATAAGGACTAGCCAGACTGGACTAGGTATCAATTTTCTTCTCCTGAGGATGCTAACTTTGTTGGCGAAACGCGCGTCGAGTGCAAAAATATCAGTTTGGTGTTAGGGCAATTGATCTAGAAAAAAGTTATTCATCTCCTGATTTCCTTTCTACTCAAATTTGATTGCTCAGACTTTTCACGCTAACCTTATTTCAGTTTTTTTTTCTCGTTAATTGAAACATTCAATGAGCATTTTATTATTGTTTTTGACGTATTTACTGATATTTGGGGTATGAATGGATCATTTATTTTTATGATCCGATTATGCTTCACGACTATGCCCGTCTGCTCGTTTCACAAATCACCATCTCAAAATTGAACGAATTGAGCGTCGAAGTACTGCCTCATCCACCATACTTTCCAGACCTCTCGCCTACTGACAGCCATCATTTGAAACACTTCCATAACTTTTTACCAGTAGAACCTCCGCCAATCAGGACTAGGCGAGAACATGGCCAATTTTTATGCTGACGAAATCAATAGACTTGTGTTACGTTGGCAAAAGTGGACTGATTCAAATGGCGCTTATTTCGATTGAATTGAATTAGTAACCACTGAATATTACAGTTCAAAATACACTCATTGAAACGAACAAAACGTTTGGAACAACCTGATACTCTTGTGAATAAATCATCTGAATAAAAGTTACTGAATAGGTTAACAATAACTTAATATCTTTAGAAACTTTCCGACTACTTCCTCACAAACTTAGCTTGTTATTGTTTGAAGAATTATTTTGTCAAAATTCGTATAGCCTGTTCTGACGACCTCACAATGTGTTAGCTAAAATATTGCTCAGAGAAAACTGATTTCTGGGTTTCTGAATATTGAAGGAGTTGAAAAAAACCCATCAAATCCAAAACGTATATTTCTATATCAATCCATTTGAGGTTAATTCGTTCTTTAGGTGAATACTTTCGGCAATATCGATAGTTGCCCTTTTTCAATCTGTTGTTTAATCTGAAAAAAAAGATGAATTGTTACAATCATTTCTCAACACTATGCCATTATGAGTATAAACAATCAAACTGTCTAACTAATTACCTGAACAGAATGTTAGATCTAGTTTTTTTAACTTTTTCTTGTCATGTTACCTATGAAAATTTATCTTTTGTACCTGAATAGATAATCACCATCCTGCATTGAGTATCAAAATAGCTGATATACACATCAAAGAAAAGAATTTCAAGTTAAACCAATCAAACATCACATATAACTTTAGGAAAGCGAACTTTCCATCTTTGTTTAGAGAGATAGAGGAAACTGATTGGAGTAATTTAGGTACGTCCAAGGACGTTAATGATAACCTATATTCAATTTTATATGGCATTTTTCAGGATCATATACCCAAATTCAAAAATTTCAGTCATGTTTATCCCAAATGGTTTCATTCTGATATCATAAAGAACATCAAACAGAAGGCTATATACAGAAAAAAATTCAACGTTTGCGTGCTTTGATTAAAAGCCAAATAAAAACTGCACATAATAACTATCTTGCAAACATACAAACAATGTTGTCTAGAGATCCTAGCAGATTCTGGTCATATGTTCATTTTAAGAATAACAGCACAGGAATACCAGGATCAGTAACCTACTTAGGAAACAAACTCGAGAATCCTCAAGATATTGTTGATGCCTTCAGTAGTTTTTTCAGTGAGGTGTATTCAAAATCTGGCTCACTTTTGAACAAAGTTGGTACAGTGAATAATAATNTAATTTTGGTTAATATAATTGTTATTTTCAGCTATTCATTTTCAATTCTTCTTTTTTACTTGTTTCAGGGATTTCAAATCATTTTATATAGTAGACAATGGAAGTCCGAACTAGTGAAATTCTTCGTTGATTCTGATTCTGTCAAAACATTGGAACAACAGCGATACAGCAACATAGTACTACTATAATATAAATCGATTTGAAATCCCTGAAAGTTCAACGACGTAAGTCCTTTCATCACTTTCACAATGAAGAAGGAAGTTTGCAACGTGTTGGTGAAGAGGACCGACACTAAATGGGAAACATCTGTATATCAAAAACCCACTCACACGGGACAGTATCTGAACCAGAAATCCAACCACCATCAATCGACTAAGAGAGAAATCATCAAGACTACTAGACCGTGCTTTCGCCATACAAAGGAAGGTCTCGAAAAGGAACTAGGCATCATCCAAAATGACCTTCAACGGATTGGTTACTCCAAAGGAATGGTGGAAAAGGCTATAGCTAGAAGACAGCAAGAGCTCCACAAAGAAGAGAAGCCGCCACAACTAGTACTTGTAAAGAATAAAAATAACGTCAATCAAAGTGTCCATAACTTAATCCATAAAAATATGTATGAGATGGCTCTGGAGGATACAGAAATGAAATCAAGAAGACTCACTGAATCTCAATAACATAACCCCTTTGATATAAACTTGGACTAGTCTTTCTGTTTTTGACTACAGAATATGTTTAAAAAGTATTTGAGAACGAATTCTTTTCGTTGAAACATCTAGTGTATTTGTTTTGGATGGTTTCCTGGTTTTCCCTGGTCTTCTTTGGTTATGATTTCCAAACGTTTCGACTGCAACTGCGGCAGTCATCTTCAGTGTCGTGTTTGAAGTACTCATTTTGACATGTTAACTGAAACTAAAGCTCCCATTTCTGCCGTGCTGATTTTTCGCGCACTTTCTGTAATGGCGCGTTCGCGAATACTTCCCGAGACTTCTCGGCCTCCCAATCAACAACTCCACTTGTGCTCCACTAAGCGGGTATGGGAGAGTATGTATGAAAGAGCCAGTTATGAAAAACATCAAAAAAAGTTAACGTCAGGTGGTGGTTATTGAATAAAATTGCTTTTTGTAAGTAATTAGTTTAATAGTCATGGTTATCCAATCAAAATAAAATGAGATACCATGACAGAAATTAGTAATATGGCAACTTAAAGAAAAAAGGGAAATCGGCTCTTTTTTTGGCTTTCTTATTCTTCTTCTCAACTCTGGGGTCGACAGATATTCTGGTCAACTTCGATGTTCTGTCCTTGTTTACCAATGTCCCACTGGAATACTCTTTGAAAGGGCTAGCTAACTTGTTTCCAAGTAACATCGTCGGTTTCTTCAAAGCATGTCTCACTGGGAGTGTCTTTCAATGGAGGGAAACTTCTATAAGCAACTATATGGCGTGGCGACGGGAAGTTGACTTAGCCCAGTGATAGCCAATTACTTCATGGAACGTTTTGATGAGTAAGCAATCGAAACCTTTGCATTGAAACCGACCTTGCGGCTATGTTACTTGGGTCATCTGGAAAAATCGAAGGGACGCTCTGAACCTCCTGCTGGACCACTTGGAAGCTCAACACCCCAGCAGCAAGTTCACCATGAAGACTGAATAGGACCAGCGGATGCATTCCTAGATATACTTATCGAACGATGTGGTGCAAGACTAACCCACAAAGTGTACCGAAAACCCATGCACACGGATAGATACCTGCACGCACTATCTAACCACCGTCCTAGTCGAAAAAAGGGTCATCCCTTCTCTAACTGAACGGGCTCGAAAAATATATGAACCAGAGAATCTAGATGAAGAACTGAAACCTTTTCAAGTGACCTCGAGACTGAATGGACTGAAGAGTTTCATGGTTCAAAACGGAAAGGAGGCTCAGATGGTTGCACGTCACCGACAGAATTGGAAAGCTCTCAGGAAAGCACAACAATAAAACGGTAACGGTTTTCAAACCCATCAAGAAGATATAACGAAACCTCAGGTTAGCTGAAGACAAAAGAGATCCACTATCAGAAGTGAGGGTATATCGCAAACCGTGAACTTGTGGAGAGGTGCACATGGGAACCACCAAAATATCTATGGGAACAAGTCTGACGGAGCATTAAAGAAACTGCAGACTCAGCCAAACGGACAAGTCAGCTGTGGCGGAGCATGCACTCAGTGAAGGAAACTACAGGATTCTGTTTGAAAACACGAAACTCAGGGATACCATAGTCAACAGAAAAGAAAAAGCCGTGAATCTCAAACGAAATGGGTCGACGTAAGCAATGGACAATTCACCTAATCCAGGTACGGTTGTCATTAGCTCACCAAAGAAAATCTCCCAAATAACTATAGACCAGTAGCTTTGCTGTCAGTTATATCAAAAATCATTGAAAAAACCTTGAACCACCATATCCTCAAATATTTAGAAGGCTTAACATCTTGAGCGATCATCAACATTGTTTTTGGAAATAAAGATCAACAAGTGACCTTCTGTCGTATGGCACCCATATTTATAATAACGCAATCGAGGAACATCGTGAGTTAAGAGTTGTTGCGCTTGATATTTCTGAAGCCTTTGACCGTGTGTGGCATGAGGGTTTGTTGACTATACTTCGAGGCTGTGGCTTGTTGGATCATTTTTGAGTATGGCTCTACATCTTCCTGAAAAAACGTTCCCTGCAAGTGGCCCTCGTTGGATATTTTTTGAATACTTTCACCATAAACGCTGGTTTTCCCAGGGATCTATATTGTCTTCAACCCTCTTTTTATTGTACATCAACGACTTATTGGAAAAACCAAGAATCCAATATATTGCTTTGCTGATGATAGCACACTTGTTTCGTCATTTCATTTGGATTCCAGGACATTGGCGGCGAATGCACTTTTTTACCGGCAGCAGGACGTTGCATATTTTGATGAGAATCTAGAAGTAGTACTTCGGAATTGTGGTGGAAGTAACCAGGTACCTAGGTATCAATTTTCTCCAAAAAGATAAATGCCTTCGTAGCGGATATAATAATGTCAGGTTAGACAATTCCACTTACTGTTTCGAAAAGTTTGTTGGGGGTTAAAATGGACACCAATATGTCTTAGTATAATCATGTCGGTGGAATTGCAAAAGTTGCTTATAATACACATCTTTTTGAAGCGATGGTATACAATGGAAGTCCGAACTAGTTGCTATCTTTCTTTGAAAGATGTACACATTTTTTGTATGAAATGAAGATTGAGAAGTAGAAAGCCAAAACTTATTCCACGTCCTAATTTATTAAAAATATGTACACTTCTCCAAATAGTAGTTACCAGAAACATTCAAAATATAACATTTTTCAGCCATTGGCTAAAAAATCAATTTCTGTAACAAATTGTGAAGGTATTTCTGAAAGGAATGATAATAGTCTATTTCCAAGAATATGCTTACCATTCTCCTGTCTTGTTTCTATCGGATACGCGATTCTTCTGGGCCGATCGATACCTAGATAAAAAAATATTGGGATCATTGCTAACTTGGAAAAATATCAACCAGAATATGTGTGTCTCGAAAAACAACCCATGTATTTACAAAAGAAACAAAATAAATCTTTCCATTTTTTCAAATGATTTTCATTCGTGTTAATCATAGATTAAATGATCAGAGGGAATATGTGCATTTCAATATCTAAAGTCATAACTGATTTGGGAAAAAATGTTGTCATTGAAATGAGTACAGGTACAGGGTGGCTAATAAAGCGAAATTTTGAGAACCCAGTTTTGAAATACAAATTTATCAGTTTTGTTGTTCATGGATTTTCAAGGTTCATCATTTTATACGTACTGTTGATAGAGTGAGATGTCGTGAATGAAAGAAAAATCAGAAGTTTTATTTGGTTCAATATTGGCACTTGGCAAAACGTATCTAAATAACACTACATCGTGAGATTGTCGCTCAATGGTATACGAAATGGCCGAACGTGTTCCATTACATAGTAACTTCTCCAGGTGAGTTCAATGCTAACTAGTTTTGTTAGCTTTAAATACGCCTGAAGAAACTTCCGTATAGTGAAACACATGTCACGATTTCGGGAACACGATTTTGTATTACACCTTTCCTCTGGAAAACAAAGAAACTGCC